GGGTAAAATCCACATAGCAACATTTCTCACGACCGTGAAACTCATGCAGACTACAATTTCCCGCGAACTAAACTCAAACTAAACTATTCTATTTTACCAGGTGAAGCCCACTGGGCTATTCATTGTTTTTCAGATGGTGGCCTGGCCAAACATGATGGCTCATGATATCTGGAAATGTAAGGTAGCAGCCAAAGCATCTAAAACGCATGCTGTTTCTAAATGTGGAGGGAAAAACTGTAGGCAAGTCCACAGAGAGAGAACATTCCAACTCCGAATATACAGTCATCGTCAGGGTAGGGATTACACCCACGACCTCCTGCGTATCAGACGAGGGCAATAACACATCGCCACCTAGGTTCATCAAATGTGGCCAATAACAATCTGGGAGTAAATTGGCAACTGTGTTGGGGTGGCAGGAATTAATTCGTACCGAGATCCGACGCCTTTATTGTGTTGAACTTTATTTGAGAGCACGCTGCACAGTTTGCGATCATGGGCCGAGGTTGACTCGAGGTCTGCAGGAGAAATAGGTGGCAACCCTAGGCACCCCATCCCGAGTCTTCGATAAAAATTAGGGGTGGCCACGAACCACAATCGAAAGAGCCGAAGATAGGGAAGAAATCATAAAAAGCCAAGAAGGAGAGTATGATATCCAATTATGGATATAATTTAACATATGGTATCCAATCATAGTGGTAATATAGAATGTATTTTTTTCCAATCAGTAAAACACAGACTATGATATCTTAGTGATAATGTTGAGTAAAATGTAGTCTGTTTTAGCTCTCGGCTACATGAAGATACCAGAAGACTACTCATAGGGCTCAAATGGTTTGGCCATTCCTGGAAAGATTCAATGGTTGCGGCTGTGGCTTTGTAAACACGTCATGAACTTCATTGCAGCAGTTGTTCAATGGACAAACATCAACACAGATTTCTTTCACACAACTAATGAGCCTCATTTTATTTCTATTGAGAGTGGGACTGTGGAGTTAAAAATTAAAATCTCGGGGTCAGGGTTGGACTCATCTGGGGCGAATGAGTATGGTAATGTGTGGGAGGGTGGGCGTTGGACAAAGATTACAGATCCTTTAATCCGCAATGTTATCCACACATAAACTTCACTTATCCGTGAAAAAGCATAGGCAATGTTGCGCAATTGGTTTAAATGGTTGCGCTGCTCCAGTTATCTGCACCTCCGATGAGTGTGCGTTTGGCTACGCACGGTGTGAATGAAGTTCAACGTGCGTAGATATTCGCAAAAAAGGTCACAGACAATTGGCGCAATTGATGTAATTTCACGAAGTGCATGCCAGCAACAAGTGCCGATCAAGACCCCACGGGCAACCAAGATATAATAGGATGGTTTTCTGCGCGACTTCACTCATCTGTGAACAATTTGCAGATAACAGGAAGCCAACCCACAATATAGGATGGGGGACGTAGGGTAGATATTGGTAAATGAAGAAGAATGGGGGCACGGATAATCATGGTTTTCTCAGACGCCATAGGTCTTGCGGAGAATAGGGCCCCCAAAGGTCCTCCTTGCAGTTAATAGGACCGCAAACGAGAGTTATACTACGTGGAATTGTGGAAAAGTTGTCCAGGGTCGACGGACAGCAGATGAGTGCCTGTTGACCTGAACAATGAGACACTTTCACTTGACTTGCATTGATCAATATGATGTTAAAAGGTCTCGCGAATTCGTAACGTCACGCGAATTTTCGTCGCTGTATCAATTGCTCCAATCATAATAACAACGCTGCTAATTATTGTGGAATACAGTTAATACATTTAATGCGTAGTACAGCTTTATCCTGCTTTGTGGTTAATGTTGTTTGCCTTGCGTCCTGACATGGTCTCAACTCCAGGCGGAGGAGTGAGGAAAGAACCGATGACTGCAGAAAAAGTGAATGCGCTAATTTGAAATTATGCCTAATAAATGTCGTCATTTTTATTTTTACGTACGTAACGGCACCAATTGTGTTTGCTCGTTAACCACACACGACGGATCGGGCTCTGGCGGAAGAGCGTCCGTTCTCCCAACTGCTCAGGTTCCCGTTGAAGGTGTGCGCAGATTGATCCACTACGTTCACCACACAACGGATCCTCTGCGTTTCAATTGATCCACGTATGTGCGCGTGGCCATTGATATGTGCGCGCCATCCGAAAGAGATGTAAGCTTTCCGAATTGATGTCTACGCAGCCGCAGATTTGCGCATATTCTGATACACTATATATCAACATTGTTTATAAAATGTATATATTTTATGTATACTTATAAAATATATATCTGTTTAAAATGTACATATCTCTACCAATGTTTGCTATGCTCCCACTTCACCAAAAAAACATTGGTATTATTAACAGTGGGTGATATCGATTTAAAGAGGAATAGTTTACAGCCGCTTGTCAATCCACTGCTGGACGAAGCCTTCCCCATGTCGTGCGGGCAAAGAGGGTTGCTTAGGGTTGCCACCTGTCCTGGTTTTCCCAGTATTGCTCTCTTGTTGAGGCAGCTGTCTGGGGAAATCTTTCGAGTCTTCCTGGGCCATCACAAGTAATGTGTTTTGTCAGTTGCGTAATAATATTATTACAGCACCCAAAGACAACGCATTCGCATGCAGTTCTCCCCTCTACTGGTTTCCGTGAGACATTTGTATGATGATACGTAGCATATTTTTTCTACCTCAGAGGTGACAACCCTAGGGTTGTTTTAACCATACTTCACCGTCTTGGTTAACGTGGGTTGGTGGGGCACAGGGGGAGACACAGGGACAAGTTCAAATATTGCTTGCCACCGATGTTAGCCCACGCGGTGATTAATGTCTCAACAGTAGCCATGATATCTTCCGATACACCGTTAAAATATAACGCGACGTTTTTTTTTTTTGGATAGGCCTCACACCTTTTTTTTTGTACCTTAAGTTAAAAAGAGACAGAATGTAATGAATGCAGTTTGTGGCAAAAAAAAAAATGCACAGACAACCTTGAAGACCCGGGAACACATCAATTCACTCATTCACGCCCGCGCAATGCCACACTTGGAATTCACGGACTTGGACATCAATCGCGCTTGGCATACAGACGTGGTTTATACGTGTTCATGGGCAGGGGTGTGGGGTGGGGGGCGATTACAATTTAATACTGCGACAGTGGGCATAGATGACTCGGTCAGACCGCTTTTCTTCCAACTCCGAAATCGATTGCCAGAATGTAAATTAGGATGAAAGAGATGGTGGGGGTGTGGGGGATAGACATTACAAACCAAATAGCAAGGTACACCGTACCCTGTAATCTATACAGGATAGCTTGCTCAAGTGCAACATTACCTGGAATTGATTCTGCCCTTCTTCCGACGATTATGGTGTGATCAGCCAAGACTGGACCGATGCGGTTCGTGTCGCCTTGGATAAACTGCAGCACAATTTACATCTCGTTTTATCCAGTTGTTGCCGTCGGAGGAAGGAGGCTCGAGGTGTGGAATGATTTAACCCATTTACTGCACGCAGGGTCCGGTGAGTATCCCCAGCAAGCCGAGAGAGCATTAACCGCTGTCTATGTACAATACATATATAGAAGAAAAAAAACCAAACCCAATAGTTATAACAATAATAATAACAGCAATTAAGTTAAAATACCGCGGCTCCTTATATGTTTTTTTTCAGCTCTCCTTCCGAAGTGTTATTCTTTTGTTGAACGCCGCGCAGATCTGCCCGCGTCGGTTTTATTTCACGCTGGCGCCGCGATGCGTCGTCTGGTTGTGCCGCCCGCCGTTCACCGCGACGTCCGACGTTTCGGCCGGACCTTGTTCAGGAACAGATTAGGGCAGGCGTGAGGAGGAGGAGCATAGGAGGTGTGGGGGTGGGTGGCAGCGGAGAGCGATTCGGCCCTCACGCAGAAGCTGAAACGGCTCCCACGGCGCGGAGCGAAGCCATCGATCGTCGTTGCCCAAACAGTGAACGATGCGCGGGTGCGAACCGAGAACGCATCGCGAGAGCTGTCAGGCAGATCCGTTGGGACCGAGCGCGCACGTGGTGGTGGTAGGGCAGTGGTATTAGGAGGAGGGTAGAAGCCTTAGGAATGAACAGGCAAGGCGAGTTGCCTCTGACATAGTGCGTTTGGCAGGGGTGGCATGTTGGTTAGAGTGTGCGACTGGTAAGTGGGAATTTGTAAGTTCAAATCCTGGGCCGAGGGGCGGTTGATTCAATCCTTTACCTTTTCAGAGCTAATAGCATAAACAGTATCTCCGGGACCTTCTTTGGCAGTATCAATATTATGAACAAAAATAAGAACGTGTTACATTTTCTGGCAATAAAACATGTGTTAAGATTTTTGCATGTTTTTGCCACAAGTACGTGTGGTAAATGCAGACTTGATGCCTTGAAAACGGTATCTATTTGATGTTTGAACATCTTAACAACTGTTTTATTGCCAGAAAGCGTGAAGCCTATTCTTATGTTTTCATGATAATAAGGAGTTATCTCTTTGTGTGAGGTCCACATTGGTTGTCCTGTACAATAATTCGCCCCCGCCATAGCAATTTGGAATTTCCATTGCTGGCTGGATTGATAAGCGCATTCCCACTCTCTGCTTGCCTTTGACTAAATGTGTCAATCAAAAATTAAGCGGACAAATTGTACTGGGAGCCTAAAAGCTCTGTTTAACAGGATTGCAACCTCGTTGTATGCCTTGGTGCAGGTAAAACATTTCATTATTTACGATTCAGCGTTTTTTTTCTTCAACCCAGGAAAGCCTCACCCCATGACTCTTTTTTCAGGTGGATTCTGACACGTTTCCACAGTTGGGGAGGTGGCATCGATTTGCGTACATATATTTTCCAATTGAGGAATCCAGGGCGATTTGAACCGCAAACACATTTTTGGGATAAAAACACCGCAAAGGTGGTGACACCCATTTCGTGAGATAGCACAATCCCATGCACGTCAGAGCTGAGCTTTCCTTCAATCCCTGGATGTACCAAGATCTCAAAACGGGGGGGGGGGGGGGGGGGGAGTTGAATATGGCAAAACTTTCACCCTGCAATGTTGGCCAAGTGAGCGCGCATTCCTCTGGCCCCGAGTTGCGTTTTGCGCGACTCGGAGCCAGGGGATTGAACGGACCGGATTTCCAAATTTTAAATTCCCACACTGCCGTCCCCACCGCGGTATTCCCGGTCCCTCGGAGCGCAATCAATCATCCCGAAAACACGTCACCATTACCCTCATAACATTGCCGTGGCCTCAGAGAGCATCTCGGGCCGTAATTATATCAGGGATGCCGATAGGGGGACAGTGATGGATGGTCGTGTGTGCGTCGTCGTGTGCCGATATCAAAACCGCGGATGCTGCGTTGTCGTCTCGCGCGTATGGAAGGGCTGCGTCGTTACGCGGCGTCGCACGCGAGCAATAACCGAAAGAATATCGCTCATCACGGGACATTATATATATCGCGTCTCCTCGCTTGCGGCAATGAAGAGTCGGCGGGGGAGGTACGCAGCTCCTGCCCAAAAAAGCGAAGCGCACCCAAAGCGGATGAGTTCCGCAGCACCGCGTCCGAGGGCTGGACGCGAACAAGCTCGAAGAACAGGCAGCGAGAGGTTATTTGGGAGAGAGAGAGAGAGGTCGGGAGGGGGGGTGAGCCGTCTTGATGTCGGTAATGTCGCTGCGATCTTCCCAGGAGGCTGTTTTAGAGTTGGGTTTTGCGGGGTGAGGGTCGGACGGTGGGCGAGACGGTCATCGAAATTTGATTCGAGCGTTACTTAACAACCGCGTGCGGTCCGGCAAAGCAACAGAAAACAATAACCCAGCTTCGTGGTGTCATATTTACATCCCGTATGTACATCGACGGCGCTGCGAGTTGTACACAGTCCTGCGTTGTTTACAAACGGGTGCACAAAAAATTGCACATTTGGCGTTTTTTTGTTTTTTTTACAAGCCTGCAACGGTGCTGCGTGGACTCCTGTTGGATGCTGTGAGAGCTCGCGTCCCGTAGTCCGCTTAGCATGTTATATCCCCCCAACACCACCCCTTCCAACTGCCCAGTGTAGCACGGGTTATATACGTGCGAATGTGTGTACGCACCGAATGTATTTATGTACATGACCGTGAGTTTGTTCCGTATTTATATGCTGTACAAGTCGGTTTAGTTGGGAGGAAATCGAAACTGCATTACGTCGCCCGTGTCCATTTAATAGACTAAAGTGTCTGCAGTGCCGTGTGCATCAATAAAGGCACTTTTTAAAAAACACCTTGGCAAAAAAAAATATGCTATATACACACACACACACACAGAGTTAAACGGATATTAATAGGGAAAAGAGGTCAATAGGTTAGAGGGGAAAAATAAAGATCTTAATGCATGTAAGACTCGGACTAACGTTTACTTTATCATCATATTCTAAGTTTCGCCCGTTCACTACGGTACATTGTAGCTGTGTGACGATGTGATCAGAACCTACTGCTGTCCAGCAGGACGTCATCTTGGCGCCCGTCTCGTTCTCAAAACTTCTCGACAGCCCCCGACGGTTTGTGTATATACACATACAAAACATCATACCGTGTACGTATATGTAGCCGTTTACATTACACCACATATGTGCCTATATATATAAGCATGTGTGTGCATATATATAATTATAATACTGATTTTTTTTGTGTTAAACAATCGCCATCTTCATAATATTCGTCATAACGGTTCACCTCCATCCTCATCATCGTCATCATCATCATCATCAGCCCGTGCATTGGGTCCATTGTAAGGGCACCTGAGCAAAAGCCGCCGCTCATTAAAGCTTGTTGTACGCGGCCTGTTTCTCGAGCACCTCCAGGTAGTCCGGCTCGCACTGCAATCTGGCTCGCATCTCCAGGTACTCCCCGCCGCCTGCGCCTCCGGCGACGGCGGCAGCAGCAGCAGCAGCCGTGCCGTTGGGTGAACCAAAGAGCACTGTCTCTCTGATGACTCCCTCGGGGTGAGGCTCGCACGCTTTCCTGCAGGACGCTGAGCGGTACCCGCATCCGTACGCCTGATCCCCGCCACTCAGCAGCAGCTGCTGGTTCCCCTGCTGCTGCTGCTGCTGGTGGTGAAGCAGCAGCTGGTGTTGCTGCTGCTGATGATGCTGATGATGCTGCTGCTGCTGCTGCAGGGTGATGGAGCCCTGCTCTGCATGCGTGCCCATGAGGCTCATCCTCGAGAAGGCGTCGGCAGCGGGGCACGTCGTCCCAGGGCCGTGCTCCGCGCCCGCGAACGAGTAGCTCATGCTGAGGATCTGCCGCTGGATGGTCTTGTCGAGGATGTCGCGGAAGGCGACCGGCTCAGCCTGCACCTCCTTGTACTCGTGCTCGCTGTCGCCCTCGCGCGGGATGTAGATGGGGTTCTTGCACATGGTGCCGATCGGCTGCGGGATGTACTCGTAGAGGTGGCGCGACGCGTGGCGCTCGGGCGGACCCGGCTCCGCCTTGGGCTCGTAGAATCCGTAGTCGAGGGGGATCGCCGCCAGGTCCTGGTTGAGCGTCGTGTCGCACTGGCCCTGGGCGGCGGCCTTTCGCCGCCGCAGGATGAACACGAAGAGGCCCGCCGTGGCGAACACGGTGAGGATGAGCACGATGAGCAGGCTGAGGATGAGCACGGAGAGCGGCACGGCGCTCTTGCCCGAGATGACGCCGAAGCCCGAGTTGGCGGACGTGGTCTTGTCGAAGTCGGGCGACCACGTGTGCGATCGGTGGTCGTTGGCTGGCGGGTCGGGGCACAACGCCTCGAAGGGTAGCGAGCGCAGCCGCTTGGCGGCGAAACGGGCGGGCGACTCGCACGTCACCTCGCTGTGCACCACGCCGCCGCTCAGGCCCTCGATCCACTGCTTGAGCGTCACGGCGTCGCAGCCGCACTCCCATGGGTTCTCCTGCAGGTCGATCTGCACGATGGCATGCAGGTGCTCCAGCACGCCGGCTACGGGCAGCCTCTCGAAGAAGTTGCTCCGCAGGTTGAGGCGGGTGATGGCCATGCCGGCGAACGCGCCGTGCGGCAGCGAGCGCAGCTCGTTGTTGTTGAGGAACAGCAGCTGGAGGCCGCTCAGCTCATTGAAGGTGCCCGCCAGGATCTCGCGGATCTCGTTGAACTCCAGGTAGAGGTACTGCAGGCGGCGCAGGCCCGCGAACATGCCCGGCGAGAGCGTCACGATGTAGTTGGTGTTCAGGTAGAGCCGCTGCAGGTTGGTGAGGTTGGCGAAGGCGCCCTCGTGGATCGACGAGATGCGGTTGTTGCCCAGGTGCAGCAGCTCGAGACTGGCGAAGTCCTTGAAGTCGAGCTTGCGGATGGTCTTGATAAGATTCTCGGGCAGATAGAGCTTCTTGGGGAAGAGCGGTCGCGGCAGCAGTGCCGGCACGCTCAGGATGCTGCGGTTGTGGCAGTTCACCGTGAGCCCCATGTCGCCCGTGTGAAAGTTGCAGCTGCACACCGCGGGGCAGCTCGTGACGACGGGCGCCTTGGCCTGGACGCCCACGATGGGGCCGAGGTTGGTGCCCCCGCGCGAAGCGTTGAGGGCCTCCGACGGTGGCGGGAAGTCTTCGCCCGCACGCTCAGAGCACAGCTCACGCCGCGGGAACTCGCTGAGGTCCTTGCCCCGCAAGCGGAACGGCGTCTCGCACATCACCTCGCCCACGAGCACCGAGTGCGACAGGTGGTCGAGCCACGCCCTGAGGGCATCCAGCTCGCACGTGCAGTTCCACAAGTTCTCCTCCAGCTGGATCTCGGCGATGCGGTCCAGGTGCTCCAGCAGGCCCCGGTGGGGCAGCGTCTTGAGGCGGTTGCCGCGCAGGTCCAGGTGGCGCAGCGTCACATTCCGGAAGATGTCGCCGGGCAGGTGTTGGAGCAGGTTGTCGTTGAGTATGAGAACGCGCAGCTTGGTCAGACCCCAGAAGGCGGCCGCCTCGATGTGCCGCAGGAGGTTGTAGTCAGCCTGCAGGTACTCCAGATTGTCGAGGCCCAGGAACGTGTCGTTGCGGAAGACCTCCAGCTTGTTGCTGAACAGGTAGAGGCGGCGCAGGTCCTGCAGGCCCAGCATGGCACCGGCCTGTATCTCGAGCAGGCCGTTGTTGGCCACGTTGAGCGAGACCGCTGCTCCGTAGTCGACGAAGTCATTGAGGTAGAGGGCACCGATGGAGTTGCCGTTGAGGAACAGCTTGTAGGGCCGCGGCGGCACGAGGGCGGGCGGCGCACGCAGCTGGGACATGTCCGAGAAGCCGCGGTTGTCGCAGTACACCTGCAGAACGTTGTCCTTCTCCTCGCACCCGCACATGACGGGGCACGGGTCGGGCCCTCCAGCTCCCCCCGCGCCGTAGGCGGCCGCTTGCCGGAGCTCGGTGGGCTCGGCGGCGCGGAGGGCGATCGCGAGCAGGAGAGCCGGCAGCAGCGGCAGCAGCGGCGGCGGAGGCTGCGGCGGTCGCAGTCGCAGCGGAGCCATGAACGTCCCCATTTACGCGCTCGCTCAGGGCGGAGCGAGGGGGTGGACGTGGCGTCCGAGGTGCCCTCCGACGCAGGGCGGAGGTGGGTCGGTGGCACCGGGGGGGGGAGCGGGCTCCGTGCGGAGGACGGAGGCCACCTGCGAGGGAGGCGAGATGTCAGCGGCGTTGTCACGCGGTCGCCAAGCTTCAGTCAGACTCGGCAAGCACAAGTGGATACATCTGTGGAGAGAGCTTGAGGGCTCATCGGATTTCTCCGGGTTTAATACAAATTTTGATTTTCGCGTCATGAGAAGCATCTGTTTACTCAACATAACAACTGTGGACGTCGCTCTGCGGGTCAAGGTTGCTGATGGAATGAAATAACAATAATAATAATAAAATAGTTTGTATATCCAGGAAGAGGAGGAATCTGCATTGCAATCGTTGGGCAATTTCATCAATGAGTGCTTAGCATGTTGGAGTATGGCAGAGATCTAAGATGAATTGTATGCACTCACTCTGCACAGATGTATTTCAAGAACCCACGTGTTATACTGCCATCTCCTAGCTACCTCGGAGCCCAAATGGGTTTCGCAGCTTCACAAAATTCTTCACCGTCTCCTCCAAACGTGCTCTAGTGCGGTTGTGCACCACCGCATTGCTTCCATCTCGAACTAATAACGTATATGTCTTTCATAAGTTAATGTATCAGGGTCCCCCCCCCCCCACCCCTCATTTAAGCATTTGTCATTATCTGCTATTCATGTATAAATAAAAAAACGGCGAATGCACCAACTCCCTTCAATTGTCTCGGTTTTTTGCAAGGCACCGCACACAGCAAACTCTGTCGTTCTGCCCTCCCTCCGCTCTGACGAATGACCATTGCTTGAAGCGCTTTATACATTATATTTACCGTGTGAATTACGAGGTGGTGGGTGAGCTTTTGTACAGTCCACACAGTCGCTTATTGCTTTATTTAAAGATGGATTGGTGCAGGCCTGCAATAGCTCGCTTACGAAACTGCTGGCCGAAGTGCCTCCATTAGAGGGAGCTCTAGACAGCCGCTCTAGAGGGTATTTTGCCTACTCTTCCATGCTGGAAAGACATCAGCACCTACTTTAAGACCATGGCAGCATACATTTATAGATTGATCGACTGTCTGTGTATTAAAACTAAACAAAACATGAAACTACTTTATATTTTACCAGGTAATGCCCACTGAGTTATATAGCTATTTTTCAGAAGCGACCTGGCCACAAATGATAGCTCACCTAAACGGATTATCAGGTGGACATTTTTCGCAACCAAATACTCTAAACACATGCCGATTCTAAATGTGGAGGTGAAACCCTGAGGAATTAGAAAAATCCACGTTACCACGGGAAAAGAGGCATGCAAACTCATGTGACGAGATGTTCACGACCAGATCAGGAGGACACAGCGAACCCATTCTTGCCACTCAAACCCCGAATCCTCCATTTTCCTAAGAGGAGCACCCATGTTTGTTGTTTATTTATTAAAAAAAAATCTGAAATGGCTACATCGTCCCGACCACCGGTCGTCCGCCTGCCATCTGGCGTAATCTACCGGCCGCGGGGGCAATAAGCCAGTGAGCAAAACGAGCGGCCAAGCGATCGCAGAGGCAAGGGGCCTAGGGCAAAAGTACGCACGCATGCGACATTCGACTCGAAATGCCAAGCCAAATGCCGCACGAGATGTCTGGGGGCGAACGAAGTCGCCAAAGCCAGCACAAAACGCGAGCGTGCCCTCCGCCGGCTTGTGCCAAGTTTGCCATCTGCTGAAATTGATACCACTCAAATCGCTCGGTACACGCCTTTCCTTTCGGTTATTGTGCCGTGCGGCGAGGGGGGTGGGGTGCGTTGTAGTAGTTTCACAAAAGCGATTTAGCCGGCCCATGTTATATCATTGCTGCAGAAATACTTTGGTCTTGGCAAGTCATGTTCCTTGTACGCAGGTGCTTCAGTTTCCTCCCATATGCCCACCGCTCGTTATTGGACACGTCTAACCATGGCGGTGTAGAACAGTAGAAAATAGAAGTCTGACTCTAAAGGATTCCCCGGATATAAATCAAGGTGCATACATATTAATGTTGTTAGTTCGAATGCGTACGCGAATGTGAAGGCTGGGCAATTATGTTCGGGCGCCACGCTGCCAGGGTAATGACACTGGACTGGCTTGCGAGCCCTGGAGGTATGTGCCATTTCGAACACCGTGTCCACTCACACTCATTATGTTACAATGCTGATTAGCGATCCTAATTATGCGATATTTCTCACAGTATTACATCATTGTGATGGGACGACCTTTACTTTTTTTTTTACCAGGTAAGGCCCACTGAGCGTTGCGGCTGTTTTTTCAGAAGCGACCTGGCCACAGAGGACATCTCAACGGAGTGGCTTCCCAGCTAGAAATGTATCGCAGCCAAATAAACAAAACGCATGTTGCTTCTCGGTGTGGAAGATAAAAGCAGATGGACTCGGATAAAATTCCACATGACCATGGGAAGAACATGCAAACTCCAAATATCCAGCAGGTGTCAGGGTCGGGATCGAACCCACGACCTCCTGTATACCAGGTGAGGGAGCTAACATCTCGCCAATGTAGTGACCTCATCAGGGCTGCAGACCAGGCCACGTCATCATCATCTTCGTGCGCTCGATACGAGGAGAAGAATCTTGTTTTGACTATCTTTTTTTTTAACGCAACTCCCATATCAAATGCAGGACAATGTGACTAAGCAGGAAGATCTGACCCACACGAAGATACTAAGCATTGGTGGCTACTATTTACTTAAGGATTTAGGAAACCGATCAGTCAATCACCCAGCTTTGATGCAGTCACGTTGTGTTCAATGCATGGTCAATACACCTACTGACCAGACCAAAGACAAATATCGCCCATATAGCCTTTAATAGACTGTAGGGGCAGGTGCTCTGAGCGTGCACCTATTGAGGCCAGAACGGTACACGAGGGGGTGGGTGGCCAGCACCACACCCGAGCACCTTTGCTTTTTTAGTAGCGATGCTTACACACCGCATCACGTACTCACTTAAGGCTGAGTCGACTGAGGCGAGGTCCAAGACCAGTTCAGAAAATCGTCACTAGTGTTGGCCGTGAGCGGGAATTGAACTCTGGTCGCTGGGTTCATAGCACCATCTGCTCCACTACCGCTCCCACAACAAACACACACACACACATAGCTCAGAGTAATAGCACCAACCAATCCAATTCAGTGGGATCAGATGATTGGGTGGATACAAAAAACCCTGCACCGATTGGTTTCAATTTCCATGCCAGGAGATTGAATCGAACCGGTGACCTCTGGATTGCAAGTCCAGTGCGCTAACCATTACACCATAGCAGAATCACATACACACACACTGAGAACAACAAAAACCCCTAGTTTTTCGTGTGTATCATCTGGTACTGTGTTGTGGCCACCTGCATTGTCTGTCTCTGTAACATCGAAAGATATTCCCGCTCGAAACATATTCCCGCTCACGGCCAACACTATTTTACGGAGCAGAAAATAAATAGGAGCCGGTGGACGTGGAATTCTTCACGGGTGCGTATGAGGTGGGGGTGATGGGGGTGGGGTGATGGGGGGGGTGATGGGGGTGGGGTGATGGGGGGGTGATGGGGGTGGGGTGATGCGAGGGGATGGGAATCCGTACGAACCTGGGAGCACCCGAGTTTGATTCCCGCTCACAGCCAACAACGATGACGATTATCTGAACCGGTCCTGGGCCTCACCCTAGGTCGACTCAGCCTCAAATGAGTACCTGGTGCGGCCAGGCGTTGTGCTGGGCACCCACCCCCTCGGGAACGACGGTGGTGAGATGTTAACTACCTTGCCTGGTATACAGGAGGTTGTGGGTCCGATCCCAATCCTGATGCCTGTATGTTTAGAGTTTGCATGTCTCTGGGGCCGTCCATGAATGACGTCACGCGATTTTGGACGATTTTTGAACCCCCCCCCTCCTTCGTCACACGGCGTCACAAATATCTGCCCCCCCCCCCCAAAAAAAAAAGTGCTTTAAATCGCTTCAAACTATTGTCATTGTAGTGCGTATTTAATGTGTTTTTCCCTCTACATTTAGATTCAACGTGCGTTCAGAGGATTTGGCTGCCATACATTTTCACGTGATGATAAGCCACTTCGTTGAGCTATCATTTGTGGCCACTTCGCTTCTGAAAAATGGCTACATTGCTCATTGGGCCATACCCGGTCAAATGAAAATAGCATATAGTTTATCGTGTTCCGTGCCGGCCTTCATAGGTACTAGCTAATAACACTTGCCCCAACAGTCTGTTGATGCTATACGGGGGATCTTTGTCTTGTATTGAGCGCGGGGGGGGGGGGGTATACGGACGGTGGTGCTACGGGCGATGTTGCATGAGAGGTTTCACAAACAGCGCCGTCACGGCTCTCGACACAAGGCCAGAATTCCCCGAGATGCCTGTTTCGCTCGCTGGCCTCGTCTACCCATTCACTTACCCAGCCAATTTAAGGACAGCAAATACCGTCGCCTTTAGTATCTCTCCTAATGAGCAGCTCTGTTTTCTCTATTGGGTTTTTGTTGTTGTTGCTGCTGCTGCTGTTGCGTGAAAAGAAGCAGCAAATGATTTGGTCTAAACGGACGATGCAGGGAGACCTTCTGTTTGTATTTAATGTGAGGAGTTTAAGTCACACTTGTGCATTTGTACAGTGTAAATGGTTGGCGTAACGGTTAAGAACATTGGACTTCCGATCGAAAGGTCCATCTTTCGATCGGAGTCCATCTCCCGGCGTGGACGTTTTTAAATCATCCCACCTCTGTCCACGCAGCATCATAAATGGTTCACGCCACAGTTGCGTTGGAACGGCCTCCTTATCAGCTCAGGGATTGCGGCAGTAATTGGCCAGGCAGGGGCCCCAACATTTAATTTGCACAATTTGCGGGCGGCAAACGTCACCGCTCTAATTAACTGAAAATAAAACGCGGAGCGCTGATGGAAGGATTTTCATGAGAAATAAATACATTTAAACGACCGTTTTGAAAATAGTGCTGTTGCTCTTTTTGCAATGTTGCTGAAAACATTGTCCAGGGGGACCACAGCTCGTCGCTTTGGCCACGGGGTGGGGAGTGGGGGGAGG